GTCAAGAGGTCAAAGGTTTCAGTGTGTCTACAAACTGTGTGTTTGCAAAGTCTTTCACAGGACTACAGTCTCTTGATCACCATTTTAAAATGATGTGCTTAAATTTCATTTTTGCTAATTTTTTTAAATTTCAATATATTTCCCCCCTTATGTAATTATGTATTTTAGATACATCATAGAAAGCCATTGCGTGGATCTTTTTTTTTTTTCAAACGACTGTCAATCAATGGATGGCATTTGGGTGACTGAATAATTTGCCTAGAGCCTTTAGATTAGTTTATTCTGATTGCAAGTATTGTTGAACCTGCAGATATTTGCCTTACATAGGTTAAGTCAAAATAATAAAAATTTTAGATGTGATTACGAATGACATCTGCATGTATTTCATGGAAAAACCTGAATGTTTTATTTTAAGTATGTGAAGGAAAGAAATTGTATTTTATAAATTAATTATTTTAAAAAAAATAGAAATAATGTTTAATAAGGTGTGTAAATATTTTATATTATTTTTGTATAAAACAATGTCACTGTGTCCTTCAATTGTAAGAAAATAAGCCACACTGTGCAAATTGTACCAGGAAAGTAATAACCATAATTCCTATCACTGTCTTTGTCAAGATCTAATGATTTAGGCATGCCATGTACATGTCAATGGACATTCACTTTCAGAATTTCATGTGCCATGTCTTTCATTTCAAGACTGACAAAAAAACATGTTTATTTGAGATGTCATGTGAAATAACATTACATTGTTTTTTTATTAGGACATCAGTTAGTCAGGCTTTTGTTACAGACTGGGTCTTATGTTGTCTTTAAACAATGTTGAAAGGTCACATACTGTCCTGTTCTGATCTCTTGTTTCCAGGGTGTCATGGATTGGCATCAACTCCAGTTACCATTGGCCTTGTATTCATGTGCATTCTAATTGTCCATATCTGTTACCAGGTCCTTGCTTTTAAAATTCAACATTATTTATGTGCAAAATTAATGCAATCTAATAGACCTTAATATTTTTTTTTGGATTAGTCACCAGCCATCCATTGCACAGAAATGTATTTTGAGATAATATCAACAATATCATCACTTTGTGCTTAAGTTAACAAAAGTAAGGAACAAACCCAATTAACAGTTTTAATTATAATCAATGTAATAAGATAAGATTTATTGTGGATTAAAAATAACCCGGTTAATTGTAATGATAATCAGTGCCGACAAATTCAAAAAAAAAACTCACTTATAGTTCCAGCTTTGGAGGGGGTTTGGCTTAGGTCTAGAGCTTTGTATAGCAGCACAAATTAAAATGACAAACATTTAAACAAATTTACAGACAAAATTAGAGAACATTTGGATATCTTTCAAGCACAGTTAAGTTTTTTTGCATAGCATTTCGGTTTGGTATCATTTGTTGAGTACCCATTACCATATGTAGATTTTTTTAAAATATATATACATGGAAACATATCTGGGTCACAGCATGTCCATGAATTTTAATTTGTGAATTTAAAATTGCCCTCAACTCACACATACTGCATGCACAATGATAAAAGCCAGTGGCACATATTACCCAGGGTCATTGGCATCAAGTTTAAGCCAGTGCTTTAGATATATTCTATCATTTAAAAATTAAAAGACATAAATGATATATAATATGACCCTAGTCCAATTTTGCTTTTAAATATCCATCTGATGTGCTCTTACATTCGTCCTAGGTGCAGTCTCTCAAAATGAGGCAAGACATTTCTCTCTCATTTTTTTGCACACAATAATATGTGTGCTCTTCACACAAAACAATGTTTTTTATGTCTGTGAAATTCCCATGATGACTTGTTTTCTGTTATCGTACTATTTCACATGTGATGACGTGATTCTCGTTCTCAGACTTTAGAAAATTTGATGACATGACTCCTGTTTATAATCGTATGACATTTGAAGATATGACTCCTTTTATCATACAGATGGTACTCTTGTCATTGCATGAAATATGACATTTTATGACGTGACTCCTGTTCTCAAACTGTTTGACATTTGATGTCGTGACTCCTATTCTCAAACCATTTGACATTTGATGACGTGGCTCCTGCTCTCAAACTGTATGACATTAGCTTAGTTGACTCCAATTTTCCTACTGTTTTGACAGCACAAAATATGCATCAGTGATTGACCTTTGCCTCCATTCCTTGTAAATTGCCTTATTTATTATGGCACTTGATAAAACTAATTCTCTATACTCCTGTGTGGTTTGTATAAAAATATAAAATATTCTTTGATTTTGTAAAACTGTTTTGTTTTTTTCACACTTAGAAGGAAAAACATAGTTTGAATATTCAGGCTGATGCCATTCTACAGTTGCCAAATAAACAAACATAAAAGTCTGATGCTAACTTATGGTTTGAGTTTTTGCTTTTATTTTACGCATTAAAATTAATTTTTTGGAACTCACATTATTCTCATACAATAATCCAAGACAGAATGACATGCCTCATATTTGTATCTATAATTGAGCTATTGACAGAATGTCACAGCCCATGTCTGTATCTATCACGGAGCTACTGACAGAATGGCCTGGCTTATACTTATGTCTGTGTCTATACCTGAGCTGAGGATGGACTGACTTGGCTCATTTGAATTACTTTACATGTGTACTGAGCTGAGGATGGACTGACTTGGCTCATTTGAATTACTTTACATGTATACTGAGCTGAGGATGGACTGACTTGGCTCATTTGAATTACTTTACATGTGTACAACATTTTTGTTCCTTTAATCGATCAACTTAAAAGACTTTTTTTTTAATAAACAAAAGAAGTTTCTTCAAATGAGACAAATTTTTTAACATTCTAATTCTGGGAAAGAAGTGAGAAACCACTGTAAACAACTTGTAACCACTACATATTTCTTTAACATTCTAATTCTGGGAAAGAAGTGAGAAACCACTGTAAACAACACGTAACCACTACATATTTCTTTAACATTCTAATTCTGGGAAAGAAGTGAGAAACCACTGTAAACAACTTGTAACCACTACATATTTCTTTAACATTCTAATTCTGGGAAAGAAGTGAGAAACCACTGTAAACAACTTGTAACCACTACATATTTCTTTAACATTCTAATTCTGGGAAAGAAGTGAGAAACCACTGTAAACAACTTGTAACCACTACATATTTCTTTAACATTCTAATTTTGGGAAAGAAGTGAGAAACCACTGTAAACAACTTGTAACCACTACATATTTCTTTAACATTCTAATTCTGGGAAAGAAGTGAGAAACCACTGTAAACAACTTGTAACCACTACATATTTCTTTAACATTCTAATTCTGGGAAAGAAGTGAGAAACCACTGTAAACAACTTGTAACCACTACATATTTCTTTAACATTCTAATTCTGGGAAAGAAGTGAGAAACCACTGTAAACAACTTGTAACCACTACATATTTCTTTAACATTCTAATTCTGGGAAAGAAGTGAGAAACCACTGTAAACAACTTGTAACCACTACATTCTAATTCTGGGAAAGAAGTGAGAAACCACTGTAAACAACTTGTAACCACTACATTCTAATTCTGGGAAAGAAGTGAGAAACCACTGTAAACAACTTGTAACCACTACATTCTAATTCTGGGAAAGAAGTGAGAAACCACTGTAAACAACTTGTAACCACTACATATTTCTTTAACATTGTCGTAGATGGATTTTTAAGCAGCAGCATAATCTCTTCAACTTACAACAAAGTAAAATCATCACAGTCACAGTCACATTGATAAGTTATGGATGCTGCAGGGTGTAGGTGCGTTGTGCTAAAATAAACCATGGCCTACCAATCTTCACGTAATGTTTAGACAAAAATAAATGATGAACCCATTTATTTCAGTTCAGGTGATCAGTGATGAACTTTTCAGTTACTGTACTGAAGAAGAACTATTTTTAAAATATTATAATCTGTGAAAAGGATTAATGAAGAAGGGTGTGTACATTTTGGAATGTGATTCAAATTTTCATCCAAAGTATAAATGAACAAGTTTTCTTGAGATATGTTGCGTCATCAGACACTGCGCTATTTCACTCTGTTTGTTTGTGTTATTATGTCTTTAAATGGGTTAGTTTACCCCCCTCCATGGCATAGGGCCTACTCCTACTAGTAAAATCGACCGACCGTGTCGCGAAATGGTGGGTGTCTTAAAAGTGTATCACCAACATGAAAAGTTTGGAAAGCACTGACCAACAGTAGTATGTAAGTATTTATATATATATATATATATATATAT